TAGATATATATTATCTTGATATTCAGCCATATTCTTCCATGCCCCGTATATGATCATTTGTCCCACAATTACCATTTATTTTATAGACCTGGTAGATGATTTCGAATAGTAGTATTCTTATTTTAATTATCGTCGTATGAATATCATAGTGTTCTATATCCACTCTTTTGTAAAATGTATTTTTTTTTTGGATAAATTAATCCTTCGGTATATACTGTATTCCTCCATATCACCAATAAAAATAGTTAAATATAATTTAGAATAATCAATTATTTCTTTGTCTCCTTATCTAAAATACAAGAAATGCTCTATTAATATTTTCGAATCGGATGATATTTTTCTTATTACTCCAATTGCTATTATTAGTATTTTCAATAATTTATTCAACGAATATTAAATATTATTTGGAATTATAATTGTAAAATTTATTTTTTTTTAAAAAAAAAATTAATTTTATTCGGATAGAATATTGTCATTATTTTAAAAATTCCTGTAAATGTTTTTGTTGCTCAGAATTATGAAAGAATATTTGATGTACATGCTCAATTAATATTGTTTTTTACCATTCCATTAATTTTTCTTTATTTTAATCAAAATTTTATGAACTGGATTATAATAACCTGTTAGTACTTTCTCCTTCGTTATTTTTTTGGAATTAATAGGACTTTTAAGGATCGTTTTATTTTATTCAACATCAATTTTATTTTAGATTGTTAAGTTTTTTTTTTATGATTGAATTAAATTTGGAAAAATTAAAATAAAAGAAATAATATTCCAATATAATGGTGGAAAAAATTATAGGTCAGTTTAATTTATAATTTATTGGAATGGTATACAATAAATTGAATTATGGATAATAGGATTTTATAATTAAATGAGAATCTTAATTTTTCGAAACTAATGTCTGTTTGCTAGAAAGTACCTTTTAGAAAAATAACGCGCATTCCCTGGACTTGCAGCAAAATCTAACCTCTCATTTTCTGCCATCGGAAAGGCAGAAATCATATAAAATAAAACAAATATGCTGACCTCACCAAAATTTGTTCATACTAATCGTTACCAATACCCTAAGCATGTTTGGAAGTGAAGCACTCAATTTCATTAAAATCATAGGAAAGGAAAGAGAAAAAAGAGACAGATCTCAGGGAGCCCCAATGAAGAATTTTACCTTCGTCAGCAGATCCAATTTTTTGGGCATTCACTCTTCTCTAGGGTATGTGTTTTTTTTCTTCTTGGTTCTTTTTGGAGTGTTTTAGATTTAAACGTATATATATATTTTTTAAATTTAATTTTTTAATATATATTTTTAATTCAATAGTGCATATATCTTATTTTAAATACTATTTTTATTTTTTAAAAAATAAAATAATTTTAAAACAAAGGACGGATAAACAAAATACATAAAAATATTAATTTCACATCCTTATGTAACGGGTCATGGGCTCTTATAATTCTACAAAAAAAATTATATATTACAACATAATAAAAAATTTAATAATTGGTTGATTTATGCGTCAGTGAATGTCTGCCATATGGCTTTATTAAATTTGTCAGAAGACAATACTAAATAGCTTATAAAAAATTTTTCCCATTTTGAATGTTTTTTTATATTTTTTTAGTGCATTAATTGTAATGTTTATTTTCTTTTTTTCAAATTTACCTTACATGATTCATTATCTATCATCATTCTAAGTCCTCGGATCTAAGTTATGGGCAGGATTATGAGAATCAAATCGAGAATCAGAGAATCTACTAAAATTCCCTTTGTAACATCGGGCCGAGCCGGGTACGGGCCCTTTTGCAAATCTCTAATTCCGGTCATTGCTCTTTAGAAGGCCGGTATTGATAAACTTAAACTAATTGGAAGTCTCAAAAATATAATTAGCGATTTACCGTATACTTCCATGGATAATCTCTCATTCTTCCACCAATATTTTCTTCTTTTTTCCCCTATATCCTTTTTCTTTTCTTTTCACTTCTTTTATTTATTGATGAAGCCTCTGACGTTAATTGATATCTTGTTTACAAACACAAACACGTCTTCGTAATGAAGAATCTAGAACAATCTATGTACCTTGATCAGATCAAACATTAAATTTTGTTGTACAATATAAATTTAATGCTATTGAAAAAATTCGCAATTAAGAATTATATTATAATCAGAGGCGTCACTAACCTTTATAATCTCGGGGGGGGGGGGAAAGGTCAAATAAAATTTTTTTTATAGGAGGCTTAGCCCCTCCCATACCCACTATATTAATATATTCTACTTTATTAATTGGAATTTGCAAACTCTAGACAATTATTCTGAATATCATATTTTGTCATTTATTATGCATTTATATAAAGAAAGTATACAAAATATTTATCCATTTATACAAAATTAATATTTTCTATTGCGGATATAAAAAAACAAACGTCTAAAGAATTACGAGTGATAAAGAAGGTTAATTAATTTATACACTGCCTCAATTGATAGTTTTTAAAAACCATAGAAGATAATATAATTTTTAGCAACCTATATTGACAAAAGGTCAATAAATTTTTTGCTTCAGGGGGCTATATAAATTTATCAGGAGGCACGATCCTCTGAGCCCCCCCCCCTAACTTTTAGTGATGCTACTGATAATAATCATAAAACCTTTATTAGAAATTATAAAATCATAAAAACTTTATTAGAAATTATAAATAATTTGAGGTGAGATTGCTACAAGAACAAAATAGTATAATAATACAATAATAATATATTTATAAATAGATTATACAAAGGTGTAGCCAATATTTTCCTAAGGGGGTGAGGAGAATTAAAAAATTACAGGGGACCCCAGACCACTTTGGCGGGACTTCGGCCCGCTATTGCCCGGGCTTCGGCCGGGTTAACTTAGTCTATATATAGTCATAAAATATTTTTAAAAATTTTATTTAAAAAAATAAGCCTGGAAATATGAAATATATTTTTATTAGTTTATATAAAATATATTAATTATGTGTATATACATTAATATAAAAGCATGGTAATAATTTATTTTATAAGAAATTTATTTATAAAAGGTTAGTAGACATATAGTTGATAGATATTCCTCTATTATATAGAATTAGTTACAAAATACTAGGTAAAATTCCACTTTTACAGACATATTTGACAGTTAGAGAATATATTATAGTTTATAATTTAACAAATTTTACTAATCAATGCTCTTGATAATAAATATAGCAACAATTTGCATTCAATTAATTAACGCCATCTATTTATTTTAAGTAAAAAATGATATTAAAATTTAATCTTTATATTATTTATCCCACAATGTCTTTAAAAGATATTTTCTGATGTCCTTATCAATATTTTATAGTTTTCTGTAAAATATCTAATTCTCTATATTGATAAAAATTACTTGGTTGTCATATGATAATTGATAATTTAGATATACTGTAAATCTAGACATATGATATTCCACTGTTTGTATTCTGCTTTAATATTTTTATTTAATTAATGATTTAGTTTTATCAATAGTTTTATAATTATATTTTACTTTTATTAAGATAAATAAATTAAAATTACTCACTTTTTAAAAAATTATATTTGATATATTATATTATTTAGTAATTTTATGGATTTATTATTAATAATTATAGTACATTTCACTTTTGTCTAAAGACTTATCTTTGGCTTATATTCCATTTATTAAAAAACATTTTTTGTTCATTTTTTATATTTATAAATTTATTTTTCCAAAAATGTATAAATTATGATGAATAATTTTATAAAAAAATATCAACTTTACATTCTTTCTTTCAAATTATTGTTTAAGATATATGCATACATTTTTGAGGGTCAGGGAGTGGGGGTAGGACGAAGTGGGATACTTTTTATTTGCAATATGATATTCAGAAAAAGTAATAAATTTTTGAAGGGGGGGGGGGTGGAATTTCCCCTTTCCCCACTCCCTGGCAACGCCTATGAGATTATATACCCTTTTTTTAATATAACTTGATTTTTCACTTTCTTGTTTTTGCTTAAAGCGAAAGGAAGAAATTTATAATAATGCTTCGATTTAATGCTACAAGAAAATAATATTTATTTAAAATAAACACTAGAGTTGTAAGAAAGCTTCTTAAATCAAATATTAATATATTTTTTAAATAGGAGCTAATTATTTTAAAATTGGGAGCTAATATTTAAAAAGAAGGTGCTTAAAGCACCTAGTCGACTATGTACCTGGAATCGTCTAATTTTTCATATAGACATGATTTTGGATTACTCAAAATACATTAAACTATTTTGAGGATGTCATTACTAAAAAAAAACAAAGTTAAAAAAAATTGAAGTACTCAGAGTATGTAATTTATTAAAATGCTATTAACAATTCTCACAAGTGCTTATTCTGCAAAAAGATGGTTTCAGGAATTATACATCTTATACCTTCGATAAAAAAGAAACAACTAAAAATATCGCGATTTTATATTAATAAAGAATAAGCAAAAGAACTTATTTAAATATGTTAATAAATATCTTTATAAATTATTATGAAATAAGAAGAAACACATTTTACCTTAAAAAATATTAACATTTATTATATTTCTAAATAAAAATATATTAAATAGTATTTAATCATTTATATTAAATAAATATTGAGGAAAATAAAAAATGAGATTTTCTAGGAATCATTTCTTTTGTTATTTTTACAATCAATTAAAGTTTTATTTCAAGTTTTGAACATATTTTTAAGATAAATTTCAGCCCTCATAGACATTCTTATAAGTGGCCTTGCCTATTAGATTAATTTATTCAAATAAGAAAATAACTGCAAAGAAAACAAAATATTAGACGTTTCTTAAATTTTGCTAAAATATTTCGGTGTTAAGGCCCTTATTCATATTAAGAAAAAGCCAAATCAGTAATTTTATTAAATTTGTAATATTATTTTTTAATGATTTAGATATTATTAAATTTATCTAACATATTTAAAAGGATGATTTTCAACATAATATATAATATTATCATTCAAATAGTAATTTTAAATGTATCAACCACAAACTTTGTTGATAAACCCTATATAATTATGGCATAGGTGTTATAAGTATAACGTAAATCAATTAACCTCCTAACATGTGATACCTCATTGCTCATAGTCAATATTTATCCAAATTATATTCCTCCTTTATCATATTAAGATGGTATATACCTCACATATATCAGCTGACATAGTTTCAAGTTTATTTGAACTAACTATAAATTATATAGCAAATGACTTTGACAATATCAATGCATCTGGGAATTTTTGGACCAAAATACTTGTGGAGGATTATAATTTTACCCCTAAAATAGCCAATAGACTATTAGACTTATTATGCAAAAATAATAAAATATCAGACAAAATTTTATCACTCTTTGCATCACCAGTAATATTTCCTCTGACCCAACTTACTATTGACAAAAATTCAGGAGCATCAAAGATAACAATGGTCTCTATAATTCATTTAGAAAGACATCTGATTGGAAATCTAAAATATTTGAAACTGTCTGATTTGACACAAATATCATTTGAGGTGTTGATATCATTCTTTTTCTTTCAACAACCAGAAGCTTTATTATCAATATTAATTAATAATTATGAACCATTTTGTAATTCAAATACAGATAATTTTACATATGATGATCTAGATGGTGCTACATCTAAAGATATACTTGATTCCCACATAGGTGAAAAAAATTTATTCAGCAATAGTTTAATATTCAATAATAATGAATCTGGTAACAATTTAAACATTCAAAGAAAAGAATCAATTAAAACATACATGTCTCTTATTAAATCCAATAAAACATGTCCTAATATCAACCAAGAAGATCAAAAATATTTGGATAGTTTGATGAAGATGTGTTACTATAAACTTACCCACTTGGATCTTTCCTCAAATAACTTTTCATCTGCAAGCTCAATCTTGAATTCTTACAGGTACAATACCTGCCCAGAAAATCCTTGTATGGAAGTTGACTCAGAAATTGATTTCTATTTTTATTTTGAAAATAATCAACAAAATGGTAACAATTCTATAAATACTCAAAATATCCCCCGAAATATGGAAGATTGTCCTGATGAAAATTTTATCAACCTTGACAAAAATCAGCCATCTTCTTCCAATGGTCTTTCACCTAAAGATCGAAACATGCAGGGCAAGTTTTCTGAAAATGCTCGAAAGGTTTCCCCTTCTCTTCTTGCAAATAACTTAACCTCCACCTCTATCATGCCCTACTTAACCCATTTAAACTTGTCTAAATGCGCTCTTCTGACTCACAAACTTCTATCTCTAATTCTGCGAAAACTTGATCATTTGTCCACCTTAGACCTTTCCCTCTGCATTGGCCTAGAAGATCTTTCTTCATTAACCACCAATCCTTGCAAATCTACGCTGGAGCATCTTGTGCTTCATGGCATGAGAGTCTCTTGCCAAGAGACCTCCCCCGATATACTCAACAAGCTTAACAACCTACGTAGCCTTGATATATCCGAGCCAGCTGGAAAGCATTACGGGTTGGATAGTCAATCCCAACTAGTTCGCACACCCGTCCACCTTATACTGAGTTCTCGCAATCTACCCAATTTGAGCAGGGTGGATCTCTCTGGCGTTGCTGGCCTCTCTCCTTTGTCACTATTGTGAGTTTCATTCAAAAGAAAAATATTTCATAATTATCTGGGTATATTTGATTGAGGATTAATATATTATTGCATTAGAATTTAAGTCAGGCGCTTACCCATATTTTTTTTCTGATAAATAATTTTTTCTTGTTAAAATAATGTTTATAATTTATACACTTTTTAAAGCATATCCACTTTACATTGAATAATGTTATTGGTTTATTAGTAGCGTTGTTAAACGGCTCAAGTTGAGCCGATTTTTAAAAACGGCTCACTCAATATTCCGAAAAATTTTACGCACGCGAATATCTTGCTCATATGTGGTACAAATGTTTAAACATTTATAAGCGAAATCTCGAGGTTTAGTCAATATTTTTTTCTGACCATGATATTGGGTTCGCCATTTTAAAAAATTTCCTCAAATCGAGCCTTTTTAACGATACTACATATATTGGGATGTGGAATGGGTCTATTATTGAATTAGAAAAATCTTGTTTGACCAGAGACATATTTCAAAATATGTAGTAGTTTAAAGGTCTATGGTAAAATACTCTTACATTCTGGAGAGGACCTTAGTACTAAGCCTAAAACGAATTATTTGTTATTCGGTTTGATTCGATTGTATTTTACGAATACGAATGCATATTCGATTCGAATACGAATAGCACAATTCGATTCGAAATTTCGAATCGAATATGAATAATGAGGAAAACTATTCGTCGAATAGTAAACTTTTTATTATTCGATTCGAATTATTTGTATTATTCGTATTATTTGAAATTATTTATTTATAAATATTCGTAATTTTTCGTAAATATTTTATTATTTTTTTCGTAAATATTCGTAAATCGTAAGTAAATAATAAAAAAAAAAGTAATTAAATTTTCCTAGTGGTTATCATTTCGTACCCAATTTTATTTACCATTTTTTTATATATTCATAAATCAAATCACAAGTTATATTTTCTGATAAGTTTAACGGAAAGGGAAACGCTCCAACAAAGTAAACCATTAATATAATTGTTCATTTTGATGGTTTCTCTTCAATCATTTTTGGTGTTATGAACAAGTCAAAACATTTTTCCGAAGTGTCTGCCTCTTTCCCATATTCTCAAACTCCTGGCAGATGAATAACTGGGTATGACTAAAATACGCGTCCCCGAAAATTACGCATCCCTACGCGTCCCCGGTCAAACGGGTTTAATTTATATAATATTCATAAAAAATCTTATTTAGCTTTATAAGATGAGTTAAAAAATGTTTTTTATGATTTAAAAAAAAATGATAACTTAGTAAAATTAAAAAAAAAATTTTTTTTACATCAAAAAACTACGCGTCTCCGGTCAAGATACATTTTTAAAAATAAAAGCATCGCATCCCCTGGTCAAGATATATTTTTTTAAAAAAATATAAAAGCAGACTCATATTTAGCTCATTAAATGGATACAGAAAATGTTTTTTTTTGATTTAAAAAAAAAGTGGTAACTTAGTAAAATTTTGAAAATACTAATTTTTTACTTAAAAAAACTACGCATCCCCGGTCAAGATATATTTTTTTTAAAAAATAAAAGCAGATTCATATTTAGCTCATTAAAATAGATACAGAAAATGTTTTTTTTTATTTAAAAAAAAAGTGGTAACTTAGTAAAAATTTTAAAATACTAATTTTTTACTTAAAAAAACTACGCATCCCCGGTCAAGATATATTTTTTTAAAAAAATAAAAGCAGATTCATATTTAGCTCATTAAATGGATACAGAAAATGTTTTTTTTTTGATTTAAAAAAAAAGTGGTAACTTAGTAAAATTTTGAAAACCTTTTTTTTCATTTTTTGACTAAACTAAGCGTCCCCGGTCAAGATAGATTATTTTTATAAAAATGAATATAGAATCTTGTATAGTTTTTCAAGGAGAATTTTTTTAGTATAATTTTTTTTTAAAAAAAAATTATAAATACCATTTTCGGAATCTCCTTGAAAAACTATACACGATTCTATATTCATTTTTATAAAAATAATCTATCTTGACTCACGGACGCGTAGGGACGCGTAGTTTTTAATTTAAAAAAATAATTTTTAATTTTTTTTACTTAAGTTATCATTTTTTTTTAAATAATAAAAAACATTTTCTATATTCATTTAATGAGTATATGAATCTGCTTTTATTTTTTTAAAAAAAATGTATCTTGACCGGGGATGCGTAGTTTTTTTAAGTAAAAAATTAGTATTTTAAAAATTTTACTAAGTTACCACTTTTTTTTTAAATCAAAAAAAAACATTTTCTGTATCCATTTAATGAGCTAAATATGAATCTGCTTTTATTTTTTAAAAAAAAATGTATCTTGACCACGGACGCGTAGAGACGCGTAGTTTTTAATTTAAAAAAATAATTTTTAATTTTTTTTACTAAGTTATCATTTTTTTTTTAAATCATAAAAAACATTTTCTATATTCATTTAATGAGCTAAATATGAATCTGTTTTTATTTTTTTAAAAAAAATGTATCTTGACCGGGGACGCGTAGTTTTTTTAAGTAAAAAATTAGTATTTTAAAAATTTTACTAAGTTACCACTTTTTTTTTTAAATCAAAAAAAAACATTTTCTGTATCCATTTAATGAGCTAAATATGAATCTGCTTTTATTTTTTTAAAAAAAATGTATCTTGACCACGGACGCGTAGAGACGCGTAGTTTTTAATTTAAAAAAATAATTTTTAAATTTTTTTACTAAGTTATCATTTTTTTTTTAAATCATAAAAAACATTTTCTATATTCATTTAATGAGTATATGAATCTGCTTTTATTTTTTTAAAATAATGTATCTTGACCACGGACGCGTAGGGACGCGTAGTTTTTAATTTAAAAAAATAATTTTTAAATTTTTTTACTAAGTTATCATTTTTTTTTTAAATCATAAAAAACATTTTCTATATTCATTTAATGAGCTAAATATGAATCTGTTTTTATTTTTTAAAAAAAAATGTATCTTGACCGGGGACGCGTAGTTTTTTTAAGTAAAAAATTAGTATTTTAAAAATTTTACTAAGTTACCACTTTTTTTTTAAATAAAAAAAAAACATTTTCTGTATCCATTTAATGAGCTAAATATGAATCTGCTTTTATTTTTTTTAAAAAAAATGTATCTTGACCACGGACGCGTAGAGACGCGTAGTTTTTAATTTAAAAAAATAATTTTTAAATTTTTTACTAAGTTATCATTTTTTTTTTAAATCATAAAAAACATTTTCTATATTCATTTAATGAGTATATGAATCTGCTTTTATTTTTTTAAAAAAATGTATCTTGACCACGGACGCATAGGGAAGCGTAGTTTTTAATTTAAAAAAATAATTTTTAAATTTTTTTACTAAGTTATCATTTTTTTTTAAATCATAAAAAACATTTTCTATATTCATTTAATGAGCTAAATATGAATCTGTTTTTATTTTTTAAAAAAAATGTATCTTGACCGGGGACGCGTAGTTTTTTTAAGTAAAAAATTAGTATTTTAAAAATTTTACTAAGTTACCACTTTTTTTTTTAAATCAAAAAAAAACATTTTCTGTATCCATTTAATGAGCTAAATATGAATCTGCTTTTATTTTTTTTAAAAAAAATGTATCTTGACCACGGACGCGTAGAGAAGCGTAGTTTTTAATTTAAAAAAAATAATTTTTAAATTTTTTTACTAAGTTATCATTATTTTTTAAATCATAAAAAACATTTTCTATATTCATTTAATGAGTATATGAATCTGCTTTTATTTTTTTAAAAAAAATGTATCTTGACCACGGACGCGTAGAGACGCGTAGTTTTTAATTTAAAAAAATAATTTTTAAATTTTTTTACTAAGTTATCATTTTTTTTTAAATCATAAAAAACATTTTCTATATTCATTTAATGAGTATATGAATCTGCTTTTATTTTTTTAAAAAAATGTATCTTGACCACGGACGCATAGGGAAGCGTAGTTTTTAATTTAAAAAAATAATTTTTAAATTTTTTTACTAAGTTATCATTTTTTTTTAAATCATAAAAAACATTTTCTATATTCATTTAATGAGCTAAATATGAATCTGTTTTTATTTTTTTAAAAAAAATGTATCTTGACCGGGGACGCGTAGTTTTTTTAAGTAAAAAATTAGTATTTTAAAAATTTTACTAAGTTACCACTTTTTTTTTTAAATCAAAAAAAAAACATTTTCTGTATCCATTTAATGAGCTAAATATGAATCTGCTTTTATTTTTTTTTAAAAAAATGTATCTTGACCACGGACGCGTAGAGACGCGTAGTTTTTAATTTAAAAAAAATAATTTTTAAATTTTTTTACTAAGTTATCATTATTTTTTAAATCATAAAAAACATTTTCTATATTCATTTAATGAGTATATGAATCTGCTTTTATTTTTTTAAAAAAAATGTATCTTGACCACGGACGCGTAGAGACGCGTAGTTTTTAATTTAAAAAAATAATTTTTAAATTTTTTTACTAAGTTATCATTTTTTTTTTAAATCATAAAAAACATTTTCTATATTCATTTAATGAGTATATGAATCTGCTTTTATTTTTTTAAAAAAAATGTATCTTGACCACGGACGCGTAGAGACGCGTAGTTTTTAATTTAAAAAAATAATTTTTAAATTTTTTTACTAAGTTATCATTTTTTTTTAAATCATAAAAAACATTTTCTATATTCATTTAATGAGCTAAATATGAATCTGCTTTTATTTTTTTTAAAAAAAATGTATCTTGACCACGGACGCGTAGAGACGCGTAGTTTTTAATTTAAAAAAAATAATTTTTAAATTTTTTTACTAAGTTATCATTATTTTTTAAATCATAAAAAACATTTTCTATATTCATTTAATGAGTATATGAATCTGCTTTTATTTTTTTAAAAAAAATGTATCTTGACCACGGACGCGTAGAGACGCGTAGTTTTTAATTTAAAAAAATAATTTTTAAATTTTTTTACTAAGTTATCATTTTTTTTTAAATCATAAAAAACATTTTCTATAT